TCACATCAAATTTCTGAGGACGAACCTCTGATTGAAGAACTATTTGTACAAGACGTATCTGAAGACGAACTTCAATATGTATCATTAACTTCAAGTGAAAGCTCTGATGAAAAAACCTCGGAATGAAGAAGTATCTGAATTCGAGACGCGTGTAGACTAACATCACACAACAACTGGATAGTGGTAAAAAACTTACATATAGATCATGCATTACCATATGCTGATCTACAGGAGGTGAATATATATACCACATCCGTATGAACCGAAGGTGGTTCAAATAAATAAAGCTTTATATGGTTAAAGCAAAGTCCGAAAGAATGGAATGATTACTTAAGAAAATATCTAAATAGTTGATCATTCTATGACTCGGAATATAAATCAAGTATCCATTTTCTAAAGATAGATTTACAGCTCGTAAACTAGAAAAACTATTAGAACAAGTTCGAAAGAACGTAACTGCTATAGAAAAAATATCTGGTTTATTTAATGTTACTGACATTTTAACAAAAAACAGTAACGCAAATTCAATTCAAGAAATTGTTTGAATGCTCGGAAAATAAGTTACACCCAGGAGACATTCTTCGTATAACTGAGCTAGGAGAATCAAAATCCAAGGACAGGAAGAAGATGTTGATGATCAGTTAAGAAGATCGTAAAAACATGTCTTTACGGAGGTGTGTCAGAATTATGAGGTAACACGTGATATATACGTATTACGACATTATTCATATAGGATAAAGAAATGTTACTTTACACGAAAGTGTTATTTCTGACGTTAAAACTTTTCCAACACTTTATATAAGAAATGACAAGATCTTAATTGACACTTGTCATGTTAATTATATTCCCATGTGTATATTATATACTTTAATACACCGGATCAATATCAACTTATTAAGAATGTCCTTGGAAATAAATAAAGAATCTATTACTATGAATGATTCGGTAGAAAAACCACAACATAATTCTCTACAGTATATTTTATACTTTAATACACCGGATCAATATCAACTTATTAAGAATGTCCTTGCAAACAACTAAACAATCTACTATTATTAACGATTCTGTAAAGAATCCACAACCCTCTGTTTCTCTACACTGGCAAATTGTTTACAATATAAACTTTTTGTCTTTATATAATATCCCTGTGTCTTATCTCTCTTCGTGTGACACTAATTATCTTATTACCCGGACTTTCAGATTATCACCAATATTATCAACCAGTTAAGAAAAAAGAGTATAAAAAGTAAGCGGATTTAGCTCAGTTGGGAGAGCGCCAGACTGAAGAATTAACTTCGGTCAAATCATCTGTTATCTGGAGGTCCTGTGTTCGATCCACAGAATTCGCATTTATTTTTAATTTTTTTAATTTTATTTTAATACCTCTGGAGAATATCTAATAATTGCCTTTTGACTGGAAGGATTTGTTGAATGAGTCAAGTGATGGAGACAATATTACCACGTAAACGAATGACTGTACTTTATTTTCATTTTACATTTTAAAAATGCTTTATATAATAGCAATATACAAAATATTTAATTAAATATATATATGCTAAACATCAACTTTACATAACCTTTTACCATTGTAGACATTGTTGATTGATTTCTGAATAGGCCGAAGAAAATGTGAATCTTTATCATTATCCTCACCATCTACAGGTAAAGGTCTTTTCTTTGAAGGAGTTGCTAACATCTGAGATTCAGAAGTTTGTACTAAAATTTCTTCTAATTGTAGCAATGCATCTTGATGTACATTTAAATTATAATTTAACCTTGTTAAACACCATCTTTCCATCAAGGATAGATGAGTTTGAGGTAAACCACTGATACAATGCCAACTTTTCATTGTAAAAGTATTATCATTTAAAAATTTATGGGAAATGATTAAACAACATAAGAATATTCTTTTTGCACAATGAGAAAAAGTTGGTAAAGGTGATTTTGAATTTTTTGTTGAAATAGGATTCAACGAATAAATCTGTTTAAAATAATAAGTTGCCAATAATAAAACGTTCTTATTACATTTTGATCTGTCTATGATTTCTACAATAAAAGGAACGATAGTGTTGACACTATTATTTATAGTAGAATCATTTGCAGATAATGACGAAGTTATTGTTGATAAAAGCTTCGCAATATGAACAATGAATTTCTTAAAAGTAGTTTCAGAAGATAATTTTTTATTAACTGGAGATGAAGATGGAGATGGAGATGGAGAAGTAGCAATGACAGTAGATTCCTTAGCATCAGTACTGCTACTAATGCTGTTGGAATTATTATTATTGTTGTTGCTATTTTCATAAGGAGGAGTATGGTAACCAGTTTTTATAATTAAATTTTTCTTACTTTCGACTTGAGACTCTTTTATCGAATGATCATAATTCGATGTATTAGTTAAAGAAGTAATTTCAGCATCACAGGTTTGAGAAGTAGGGGTAACATGCCGGGGATACTGTTGCCGTTGCCGTTGCCGTTGCCGCCGTAAATTCTCTTGAGATTGTAATTCAGACATGATGATCAACTATTCTTGTATTTATCTTTGTTTTATTTTTTTCTTATTTTTCTATATCGATTTAGTTTAATTTATTCTAACTTAAAATTCAATTAAGATGTTGGTATTCCTTGGTTTTTTCAAAGAAGAAAACCAATAATAATAACAGTTATCTTATTGTATTAAACACTTTTGAAACTTCAGTTTCAAAAATAGTCCAGTACAAATTCCTTTCAACCTAAGTCAAACGAGTTTAGTGGAAATAATAATTAGAATTCATATTTCCAACACTTAAAAAAAATACTAACAAACTAAAATCAATATAACCACTTTCAAAAGGGCTTATAAACACAATAAATAACAGAATTAACTATATAATAAAATCTTCTTTTCCGATGGTGCAGATTTAAATGATATATATTTAAATATCAAAATAATAAATATATATGCAATAAAAAGGCTGCCCCCCTTTGAAGTTACCAAAATGGGTTGGTCTTTTAAAAAGTCCAAATAACACCAAAGCACAAATTCTTGAATCAAATGAAATTAATAACACCTAAAACTCTTAAAAGGTCTTCATTTATATAGATATATAGATGTAGATATAAAGATCAGGCTGTTATATCCAAAATCTTTTCGAAAATGGGCTTAACTTTAAAATATCTCGAGAGTTTCTTTTTCCTGTTTTCCGTCTCCTTCCCCTCCGCAGTTTCTCTTCCGCTTCTCGTCCCATTCTTCCCTCTTGCCTAATCGAACAGCATTTTCGAAATTTGACAAAAAAACGAAAGCCCTTTTGTCTTTTGTTTTCTGAGAAAATGACGCACAAGGACGTCGTTTTTTAGTAATTTATCAGTTATTAGTCACTTTCGACACTGTCCCATCAACGCAACGCAACGACTCTGATTTCGAATTTGAAGAAGTTCATGCAATCCATTTTTAAGGTTTGCTTTTGCTTTTGCTTTTGCTTTTGAACTAGAGTAAAACTAGAACTACAACTGAACTGGGGGTGCCTGGCAAAGATCACGTTTTAGATTTTAAATTTTGGGTTCATCCTACCTTTGATTCATCAATCTATCAATTAATCAGTCATACCATGTTCATCATGAAGTTGTGGTGGAGCCAAATAAATGGTTAGATTTTATGGAACGATGACTGTATTATTAAACTAGTATGGCTCTTGTACTTTCTCCCATGGTTATGAATTGGTGATCCATGGACAGACACAGTGAAGTGATGAAGGGGTGGTGGTCGTGGTGGTGAGATGTTACTTGTGTTTTGTAGAGATATATAGATGTAAATATATATATAAAATCCATACTTGTGTGTATGTGTGTATGTGTGTGTATGCTTCCATGCATGCAATAAGCCCGTCATACTTAAATTTAATTTCTTGCAATTGGTTCTGGTAATTGCAAGCTTACACAAAACATTGGTTTCGTAGGTGATACTTTACGAACTAAGTGAAATTGTAAATTCTCAAATGGCAATATCTCTTGTGTTGTATTCATCGATTTTAATATCCGTGAGTAAACACGTTTATGAATTTCTTCATCAGTTGGTGTTTCATCATTATCATACTTCTCAAAACAATGTATATGTATCCATGGCATACCCATGTCTGAACAATCTGATGATTTCAATATACCGTTGAAATTTCCTAAGAAATCTATAGAACTATCTGGTAAATTCATCACATAGTGATTAACTTGAAATGGTATCTTGATTTCTTTGAATTTATTAGAATTAGCATCTTTAGCATTCTCAATTCTCTTCTCATGCTTCTTTCTCTTTATTGGCAATAATATTTTATCATCTTCAGAACGCCAGTCTCGTAATAGATTAATCGATTCTCTAATAAATTCAGCCCCATCAAGATTAAATGGCTTCACTATAGGTTCAACTTTATTCAACTTTATATTCTCTTGTAAGTATTTATAACTCTCAGGATTTAAATCATTAGCAAGAACAATAACCTCTTTTTTACCTGCTGGAACTGCAAATGGCCCAACCCCTGCAAATACATCACACACAACTTCTCCAGGTTTAAAGTATTTACTAACTAATCTATCATGTTCAGTATGCAATCTGGAATTCCAGTATACTTTACTGAAATCAAATTTAAATGTACAATTGGATTCTTTTTGCTCAACCTCTAAATTATCAGTTTTACCTGCAATCACTTTCATCGGGAAGGTTCTAAATTGTGTCGCAATACTGCTAACTTTATCAACGACACATTCGATTTTCTGGTTCTTATCAAGAATCACTTGCCCAATCAATGTATCATATGGTTTAAATTCTTTACGCAAATTTAAATGTGCAATATGGCCAGTTATCGTAAAACCTGTTGGGATTTCATCTAGGAATTCTTCTGGTAACACAGATCTCAATATTTCTTCAGCTTTCCAAAAATTATAATCCATGACATATTCATACGGAAGAATAGTTGCACCAGTTTCTTTCAAAAATTCTAATGCCTCTTTGGATAGTTTATCATTAACATCTTCTAATGATTTAATTGAATCATTCAACAAGACACCCTTAGTGACAATTCCATTATCACAGGCAATTGTTTTCAACTTTTTATTCTTATTAGTGTTATCACCTGTGCTTTGGGGTTCTTCCAATTTTTGATCAAGTTTAACCACATGAGGGATTCTTGGCACTCTTAAAATCGCATCTCTATATTGTTTAGCAAATGTATTAATATGTTTAGGTTCAGGAAATTTAACAACACATAAAGAAATATTTGTAACAAAAAAAGATCTATCTAGTTCTCTCATTTCCCTATCAACAGGAGGTTGATATTTAAAAGTTGACGCTACAGAAGTCATTGTTCTACTTAATCTATGTTTATTTATTATCAATCCGTTTCTAAGTATATTCATTCATTCAAGCACTCAAATATATCAATATGCCTTATTCAGCGGAAAACAGTTTATTCAACCCAATTTAAAAGCAAATTTCTTACAAGAATTAATGAATGAATCTCAAATATCAATTTCAAGAACTGAACTAGACCAATGATCGTTGGCAATCAGTAGTACACATCCAATTTACAATCAAGTCCAGATCATTTAAAATTATGCGATGAGCTTTAACACTTTTCCAAAAATTTTTCAAGCTGCTTTTTTTCTCCCATAGTGTATCTGCTTACAATAACGACAGTATAATCGATATAGTCATATAGCTATACAAAAGTTACGTGAAATAATAAACTCGCCTGTATTTATCAATTTAATTAAATTACAAATAGAGTATAACATACCTGTACATACATTGATTTGTATTATAAGGTATATGTAGTTTTCTTTGGATATCCCAACTCTTTGATAACAGTGTCTTGAATATTTTACTTTCACTATGAGAATATATATTTGGTAGCGTCATGACAAATCAGGGTAAAATAAGTTTCAGTCACGTGATTAAAATGGCATCGCCATTTTTTCTTTTTTTAATGAAATTCTCTAACAAGAAGACGATGAGATGAGAGGAAGAAAGAAGAATAAGAATAATACTAATAACTAATTAGATAATAAAGTAAATATTTATAAGATATAGACTGATCGATAGCACCAAAGCCGTTTTAGTAGATCTGCAATTGCATTTGTTTTAGCATTCAACTAGTGGAGGAGGTCAAAGTTGTTAAATTTGAGCCAAATGTCAGAGGTTATTAGTGTGGTGAAAAGAAGAGGTGGATTTCAATATCCATCCATTGTTGATGAAACTAATGATATAGATACTTCTGATGAAGATATCGAAATGGAAGATGTTGAAAAACCAGCAGGTGATAAGAAAACAGATGCTGCCGAAGGTGAAATTGTTACTCCTGGTGAATTGGTTACTGATGATCCAATTTGGATGAGAGGTCATGGTACCTATTTCTTGGATAATATGACTTATTCTTCTGTTGCTGGTACCATCTCTAGAGTTAATAGATTATTGTCAGTTATACCATTAAGAGGTCGTTACTCACCAGAGACTGGTGATCATGTTATCGGTAGAATTACAGAAGTTGGGAACAAAAGATGGAAAGTTGACATCGATGGTAAACAGAACGCTGTGTTAATGTTGGGTTCTGTCAATTTACCTGGTGGTATATTAAGAAGAAAATCAGAAAGTGATGAATTACAAATGAGAAGTTTCTTGAAAGAAGGCGATTTATTGAATGCAGAGGTACAGTCTTTATTCCAGGATGGTAGTGCTTCTTTACATACCAGATCTTTAAAATATGGTAAATTAAGAAACGGTTTGTTCTTACAAGTACCAAGTTCATTAATTATCAGATCTAAAAATCATACTCATAATCTTCCTGGTAATGTAACTGTTTTATTAGGTGTTAACGGTTACATTTGGTTAAGGAAGACTTCACAAATGGATCAAGCCAGAGATCTCCCACCAGGTGGTAGTACAGGTGGTTATCCATCAAATTCTGGACCAACTGGTGCTAAATCTTTAAACCCGTCAAGTAATATGTCAATCACGAGATTGGAAGAAGAGTCTTCATGGCAAATTTATTCCGATGAAAATGATCCTACAATTACAAATAGCATAAGGCAAACAATCTCTAGATACGCCAACGTAATAAGAGCTTTAGCTTATTGTGAGATAGGTATAACTCAAGAACGTATCGTTAGTGCGTATGAAGCAAGTATGGCATATCCAAATATTGGTTCGTTAATAGAGAGAGATGTTATGGAATCCATTGGTAATGATGTTATTAATGGTGAAAAGATGAGAGGTAACGGCGGTAATTAATAATGAGCAGATTGCTCACAAGTCTATATATTTAAGTGCACATTACATATTATATAATTTCAGTAGATATTTAAAACTTTTGAAAAATATTTATCAAGTTAATAGATTTTATATGAACAGGAAAGCACAAAAAGTTATCAATAAAAAGAGAAAAGTCATTATTTTTTTTTTCATAAACAAAAAAGTGGTATAAAGTTAGTATGGTTTATCAATCTGATTTCTTAATCAATTTCTTACCACTGGCAAAAGTGGCGGCAACAATCAATGGGAAGACAACAGTGACATCGGCATAAACCTTAACAGACTTGGCTTCGGCTTTGATCTTACCCCAAGAAACAGCTTCATCTGGTCTGGCACCTGCATCAGAACCATCAAATTCTTGACCGGTATTAATGTAAACGGCGTAATCAGCACCGTTTCTCATCAAACAAGCATTGGCAATATGATGCTTAATCAAACCACCACCTAAAATGATCATACCAGCTCTGTAAGCATCCATAGACATAGAGTTAACCTTACGGATATCGGCAACGATATCTAATCTTAATTGTTTTGGAGAGGCCTTAAAGGTGTGGAAGAATAACATGTCACCAATGGAACCGTCAGTGATAGCTGGACAGAAGATTGGGATCTTATTCTTGTGAGCCCAGTAAATAACAGAGCTTTCATCGTTAATTTCTTTACCTAGACGATCAATCAATTTAGATGGAGTCCAGATTGGGGAGTCAACATCTGGATTAGCTTCCAAACAGTCAATACCATGCTTGGAAACATAAGCATCTTGTTCCTCCAACATCTTATCGAAAATTGGAACAATCCATTCTTCAAATTTACAATAATTGTCATTTGGAACTAATAAATTACCAATACGGTTCAAACCTTGTTCACGTAAAGAAGAACCTTGCAAAGAAAATTCACCCAAGTAGGTTGGAGCCAAACATTTAATGATATCTTCTTCAATACCACCAGCAGTAGCAACCAAAGCATCAACCATCTTATGTTGAACTAAGAAACGCAAAGTTTCACGCAAACCGGAACTAATCAAATTGGAAGTGTAACCCATAAAGATGGTAGTTTTTTGGTAACCTTCGTCATCAAAACTACCCTTTTTCTTATGATCTTCAACTTCAGAAATGTGCTTACCTCTCCAAGATCTCATATTATCAATGATATCACAAGCTTGACCTAAGGAACTTGCTTGGAAACCCATTTTTTTCATAGAATCGATAAGATCGGTTGCTCTCATATCGGTAGCTTCTGGCTTAGAATAGTCAATACCATGGACTTCAACGAAGTCATCAGGAATTGGAACAGATTCCTTTAAAACAGCTTCATTCAAAATATCTGGCAATTTATCGTTTAGATTTGACATTTCGTATCTTTATCTTTCAAAATTTCGATATAATCTATTTCCTAACAATATTATTATCCAATTGTTAGCGGCAAAATGTAATTTAAACCCGTATATACAGCCTGTGTATTAAGTAACCTGGATCTCACACCTTATTAGGATCTTATCTAAGTTTTACTACCTTAATATAACAATTAACCAATTAATAATCACCAATAATGAGAACTTTATTAAGTTGTGAAATTTTTCACTTTATTATCCACTATTAAAAATAAGCGATATTCTGGATTCAAAGCTCATCGAAAAAATAGAAATATAAAAAAGAAATAGTCTAGTCAGTATATAAGAACAATGGTTATAAGTTGATGAAGAATAAAGCAAGATATGATGTGTTCTGATGAGTTTTTTTATAGGAGGTAGTTGAATTTGTTTAATAAGGTTACTTTGTGTACTTATTTTGGTTTTGTTTGGGAAATTTTGGTTAACTGAGAGGATGAAAGTTGTGGGTAAGGGAAACGCCAATATTCTAATTGATTTTGGTGATGCTGAATATCTTTATAGATGTCTAGTACGATATGAATCTTTGAAGATGAATAATGACTGCACTAGGGAGAATTTTGGTTACATAAATGATGTGGTTAGAAAAAGTTTGGGGAGTTATGTTTGCGAGATGGAATTATTAGAGATCCCGTTAACCGACTTCGAATTGCTATTGAAGGAACTTTCGATTCAAATTGATGATACCTCATTAGTTGTCCTCAAGATTATTAATTTGAAGTCTAAAGATTATACAAACACATTGAAAGATGACCATTGTACTAAAATTTTTGCAGATGAAACTGCTACCAAGATATTACTGGAGATTAAGCCGAAATGGTTACATTATTCTACGGATTATTGTAGAAATTGTACGCATAATACATACAAGAACCGTGGGATAAATTACTGTTATTCAAAATTATTGAAACAGAAAGATCACATATATGATATATTGAACCCACCAGAGTCCTTACCAATTGAATTTTTAAATGATATCGTATTGTACTTGGAAGACGAAAAAAATTTTCTTCAATTATTATATTCTTTACAAGAGCACTTACATTCTGAAACAACTCATTTGTCGAATATCGATTCTGAAGACAAAGTTACAAAGGATTTGTTGCTTTTGATGACATTAAGAGATGTAACTTGTTTCTTAGAATGGCATTCGCTTAACAGAGGTAAATTTAGTGTCAATATAATCGATGTTGATTTAAAACCAAAACATAAATGGAAACATTGGTCGTCAACACATGAGGCTTTAGAGTTCTATAATCCAAAATGTTACCATAAGTAAATAAAATTATTACACCTAATGAATTAATGACCATAAAAAATCCAGGGTAATCTGAGATCCGTTCCTGAATTATACTTGCACACATAAATAGCTTATACATTTGTAATTAATAATCAATTAAAGTTATTTGAACTTGTCAATATTTAATATTGGTATCTTTATTTATATGCTTATTACAATTATTTAATCTATTCTACTTCACTGAATAAATCACTGTCTAAATCTTCTGGGATGTCATTATAATGGTCGCTATCACTGGAACTTCCAGTGATATCTGAATCCGAATTTTGATTATCTATGTCAGGATTCGATATGGCATCTAATTTTCTTTGTTCTCTTCTTTGCAGCTTTCTTTGTTTCTTTGCTTCCTTCACAGCTTTCTTTCTTGCAATGTTTTCTTCCTGTTCTTTCCTTCTTTCTTCTTTCAGTCTCATCTTCTGGGCATGTCTTTTCTCCAGAGCTTTAATTTCTGCATCTGTCTTTTCTACAAATTCATGATGCAAAACTTTACCTGAACATATACCTTCCTCTATCTTGACCAATTTCAAGGTCAACCTTGGTCCTATTTCAGTTAATTTAATTGCCTTTTTTCTTGGTATTAGTCTAGATTGATCATCATTTACTAGTGGTATATTTTCTTTATCAATTTTATCTATCTCATTTTTTTTGTCTTGTAGAATGCTTATATGTTTAGATCTTATATCTCTTTTATCAACTACTTTTACAATTGCTTCATCTTCAACTTCCGATTCAGAAGTATATGATCCTATGTCATGGTCTAAAATCAAAGAAGAAATATCTTCCTTTTTATGCAGGTTTGGTAATGTTTTATGCAGATTGTGCTTAGCTCTATGAAGTCGTTTTAAATTTTTGGAAATTTCTACTTCTCTGATGTCGATAAAATAGTGACGCATAGATATTTCTCCAGTTTCTTGATCTTTATTAATCATGAAAACACGTTTAATCGAACTTAACCTCGTTCTTGAAGGGTTCAAGGGGGGGAAAACATTTTGGAACATTGATACTATAACTTTCTCTACATTTTCATTAACTCCCTTTGAATCTACTTCACTTTTCAGACTTGTAAACCCATTCAAAACTAATAATGGGGGATCTAAGACATCTTCTTTATTTAAAGATTTTGGCCTCTTCAGAAATTTCTTAATGTCCTTCCCCAAGGAGTAATCTGTCACTTGAAAAGTAACAGTTGGACCATGAGGAATTCTGGATATCTTCAATGAAACATTACCAGTTCTTTCGGATTGAGTAAAGATGAATAAATGAGAAACACCTAATGGGCCACACATAACAACAAAGTCCTTTAATTTATTCGACTTTCTCTCTTTTAATTTAACAGCTGTGTGAGGTTGCATGATCTGACGGAAATCTTTAACCAACTGATTCAAAGTATGATTACCTAAAGATGTCGAACCAACTCTTATAACCATAGATTTAGGAACATCCTTTAATTGTTCAACAGTTTGAACTACATGTGTTCTCTTCTTAGTTCTTCTTTTTGCCATCTTCCCAATATTTTTACAGTTTCACTAAAGAGAAAAATATAACTTTCCACTCAGGAGTTATCATTATATATACCCCATTGCAAAAACAAGTATTGAGTTATTGATTATATCTTTTATATCTTTAAAGACCATTCAAATGACTTCGAGATGAGATGAGATGAGATGAGATGAGCCTTATTAGAATAAATTCACAGAATAAGTTGATCCGATAACAAACAGCGCAGAAAAAGGAAGGCGATGAGGACATGTATTAAATTACATCAAAATACCCATTGCGTATATAATGATGTGAAAAATTGTTAAAATCAAAAGAATAACTGATGTTTAAGAAGAGATGCGATGAGATGATATAATATATAATAAAAGTGAAAAAAGTTTTATATTAATTCTTCATAAAGTAAGATAATTAGAGACTCAAGTCGTTGAATATCGAGTATTGATTATAATGTCTGGTAAAGTTGATAAAAAGAAGGGTTCTTCTGTTAAAAAAACCGAAGGAAAGAGCAAAGAAATATCTGCTTTGGCCGCTAAGATTAGAGCAAAGGCTTTAGAGAACCAGAAGAAGATGTTAAAGAATAGTGAAACTACCTCTGACCAGGAGGATGATCCAAGTGAAAGTGAAGAAGAAGAAGGTTCTGATTCTGAGGATGTTGAGGTCTCCAAGGATAAACAAGAGGAAGAAGAGGAAGGTGAAACTTTTGAATCATTTTCTGATTTAGATTTAGTTCCTGAATTGATTGAAGCTTGTAAAAATTTGAATTTTGCCAAACCAACACCAATTCAAGCAAGATCTATTCCTCCTGCTTTACAAGGTCATGATATTATCGGTTTGGCTCAAACTGGTTCTGGTAAAACTGCTGCATTTGCTATTCCAATCTTAAATCGACTATGGCATGACCAACAGCCTTATTATGCATGTATATTAGCACCAACAAGAGAATTGGCACAGCAAATTAAGGAAACATTTGATTCTTTAGGGTCTTTGATGGGTGTTCGTTCTGCTTGTATTGTTGGTGGTATGAATATGATGGATCAAGCTAGAGATTTAATGCGTAAACCTCATATTATCATTGCAACTCCTGGTAGATTAATGGATCATTTAGAAAATACTCGTGGGTTCTCCTTACGTAAATTGAAATTTTTAGTTATGGATGAAGCTGATAGATTATTAGATATGGAATTCGGTCCAGTTTTAGATAGAATTTTGAAAATTATTCCAACCCAAGGCAGAACTACTTATCTATTTTCCGCTACTATGACCTCTAAAATTGATAAACTACAGAGAGCTAGTTTGACAAACCCAGTTAAATGTGCTGTTTCAAACAAATATCAAACTGTTGATACTTTAGTTCAAACACTAATTGTTGTACCAGGTGGGTTGAAAAATACATACTTGATATACCTAATGAATGAATTCATAGGCAAAACTATTATTGTTTTCACTAGAACGAAGGCAAACGCTGAAAGAATCACAACATTGGCAAACTTGTTAGAGTTTAGTGCGACTGCATTGCATGGTGATTTAAATCAAAACCAAAGAACAGGTTCTTTAGATTTATTTAAAGCAGGTAGAAGATCAATACTTGTTGCTACTGATGTCGCTGCAAGAGGTTTAGATATCCCATCTGTCGATATTGTTATCAATTATGATATTCCTGTAGATTCAAAGTCATATATTCATAGAGTTGGTAGAACTGCAAGAGCAGGAAGATCTGGTAAGTCCATTTCTTTAGTGTCACAGTATGATTTGGAATTAATTTTAAGAATTGAAGATGTCCTTGGAAAGAAACTACCAAAAGAAAATGTCAATAAAGATGCTATTTTGACTCTAAGAGATTCAGTAGATAAAGCTAATGGTGAAGTCGTCATGGAATTAAACAGAAGAAATAAAGAAAAGATTGCAAGAGGTAAGGGTAGAAGAGGCAGAATGGCTGCCAGAGATGACATGGATAAAGGAGAACGTTAAAGGTAATGAGTTATAAAATAATTATTTAATTAAAATTTTATAGAAATGCTGAATGTTCAAAAATATATAAATGTAATATATAAGTCGATTATTATTAAAATTAAATATTAAGGGTTCAATGCCACCATGGAGCTGCGGCTTCAGTTAGGAGGGGTTGCCTGTTTTATTTTAACCGCTATATCATCATACTTCTTAATTGCCAAGGCAATAGAAGCTAATGTAGGACTTAAATATGCCTTACAGTAAGCAGCCACACTCTCACCATCACCTTTATGAACATCATCTAAAAGCTCATTAATTTTAAAATCACAATCTTTTAAATTAGAACACAACTTCTTAACTGTACTTGCCTGTTTTGGCTCGCCACTTTGGAAATGGATGTAGAAATGTTTCAAAAATTCACAACAAGTACTATGCAATAAACGACAACTATCCAGAAGTTCTATCGGAATTTCTGCTTTAGCTTCAGAATCATTTAATCCATTGCCGATAAAGGCACCAAGCATGGTATCAATGTTATTGTGCTTAGCTTGTTTAGCGTTGATTCTAACAGCAGTATTAATCTCTTGATTGATCTTAGTTGCTGCTTCTAAACTTGCCTTAACATTTGTCAAGTCAATTTTACCAATAACTTTATTTAGAACTTTATCAATATCGTCTTTAACCTCTGTAATTTCGACTTTTATTTGGGTATTTTTTGCTGTATTCGGATTAGAATCCTGTGCTGGTTCATTTTTCAAATGAATTGTCGCATAGTCTTCGGTAAATGTAGCATGTAAGTCTGAAATCTGTAGATTTGATCTTTCACCATCATCCATATCCTTATTACTTAAATTTGACCTAGAATATTCGTTTTCTAGTGACCTCATCATCTTTTCACTTAGTCTATTCATACCTCTCAAAATATCAACAGTACCATCACTATTACCGTTTACATCTCTACCAGCCTGCATTGTAAAATTAGGCCTATTACCCAATAATTCTGGGTCATCTTGCGCATTACCTTCAATATCGATTATCTTTCTAACATCATGCATTAAAGAAACATCATCTTGTCTATCATATTCTTGATCTAAAGTCAAATATCTATCAATAATAACATCACCTCTATCATTATGCATAATACGTTCACCTCTCAATTTACGGAAAAGTTTTGATGAGAAGAATCTTGCCCAAAATTCTGGTTCTTTAAAGTTCTTTGGAACGTTATCCGTGTAGGCTTTCTTTACAATCGGGTAGTTTTGAAAGATATTTAGAATCTTATCACGGGAAATATTAACATGGACTTTGTTATCTGAGGATGCAACAGGTTTAATAGTAGACAAAACATTATATGGACCTACTTTCTGAGAAGTAGACAATGCAAATGCTCTTAATAAGGAAACCCTAGTAGACCAAAATTCATCTGGAGGTAGACCAGAATGAATGACAGTTTCTTGGAAAGTTCTCATTAAATTCTTATTCTCTTTCAATAAAGATTGTTGTAATTTAAAATTACTCAATAACTTTTCTCTGGACAAAGAGTCATCTAATTTAGTAGTATTGATCAACGGAGCACTAGGAGTAGCACTTGCTGACACAGGTGTCCCTGCTTCCGCTTCTTTTCTTGTTTTTTCTTCGTATATTTCTGCATCTTTATATCTAGTAATAATATTTTGTAAAGTAATCTTAATGTTATCCATAACTGTTCTATTGTTGAATGAAAAAGTATGTGTTATAGGTTTAGGAGTCACTTCATTACCATCGTTATCCTTAATTTTTTTCGTTTCATCAACTTTTGAAATCAATCTTAACATCAATTTTTCACTCGTTGATGGGGTAGCCTGTAATTTATCAATAGTATCCAAAACCACTAGGTGGGTATTGTCCCCAGAAGTAGATCTCCATGTCAACTCAGCAGGAGATGTATCTTCGTTAATTGTAATGATACCAGAAACCTTCTTAAAGATAGCAGCACCAGAATGTGACATTACTTTAATATCTTATGTTAAAGTTTCAAGTAAAAAAAAAACAAATCACTAAAGGAACCAAGCCAACTTAAACCTAAAATTGTAGTTTAACCCCAAGTATATCCTAACTGATTGCCACAAATGTCCAATGCCTGATTATAAAAGTACAGCAATTCAAAACCTCGAATATTTAACTCTAAATTCCCAATAACCTCTATCGTTAAAGTACTAATCACCTTAATACTTAACAAATTTCACTATTAAAAATTGATTCCGCATTTAGTTTTTGATATATTTAATGCAGCAGATACTGAAATATATTACCGAGCAGAAGTATGATATGTTAAATAAGGGAAACAGATAATATAAATCGATGTTGTACGGTGTCAATGGTTAAGTTGTGATATGGTTTTAAGTATGGATAGAGAATTGGTGAATACTTATAGGGTTCAGTAACCCAATATTTTAAAAAGATATCAGCCCTTATCTATATTTCATTATATTGGTTATAGAGATTACCTCATTATCCACGACATAAAATTTTCACTATATACCATCGAATTTTTAATTCTTCAGTAATCACCAAGCTCATCGCAATTTTTAGTCAAACTAGTTAACAGCTTAAAGGAGTATTATATCTTGAAATCATCAATGATACTTGAATTCGATTTAGGGTCGGTTCATATTGTAGATTAAGTTGCTTAGATCCATTAGCTCTAGGTTTTGTGATATCCCCTCGTACCTTTTATTTATTATTTGACTTATAGATGTCTTCTCCAGTTATTGGTATTTCATTTGGTAACACTTCCTCTTCCATTGCATACATCAATCCAAAAAATGATGTTGATGTTATCGCAAACCCAGATGGTGAACGTTCTATCCCATCTGTGTTGTCATATGTAGGGGATGATGAATATCACGGTGGTCAAGCTTTACAACAATTGATTAGAAACCCAAAGAACACTATTATCAACTTCCGTGACTTTATTGGTTTACCATACAGTCAATGTGATATCACAAGATGTGAAGATGGTGCCCCAGCTGTTGAAGTTGATGGTAAAGTTGGTTTTGTCATTGCTAGAGGTGAAGGTAAAGAAGAAACTTTAACCGTTGACGAAGTTATTTCTAGACATTTGAAACAATTGAAATTAGCTGCTGAAGATTATATTGGTACTACTATCTCTCAAGCTGTTCTAGCTTTACCAACAAACTTCACTGCTGAACAGAAAACCGCTTTGGGTGTTGCTGCTGCTAACGTTGGTTTAGAAATCGTCCAATTCATTAACGAACCTTCTGCTTCTTTGTTGGCTCATGTCGAACAATTCCCATTCAAGGATGACGTCAATGTCGTTGTTGCTGACTTTGGTGGCTCAAGATCCGATGCCGCTGTTATTGCTATTCGTGGTGGTATATTCACTATTTTAGCTACCGAGCATGACACAACTTTAGGTGGTAATGATTTGGATAACGAATTGGTCGAATATTTTGTTAAAGATTTCGAAAAGAAGAACAAATCTAATCCAAGAAAGAACACTAGATCTATGGCCAAATTGAGAGCCAACGCTTCTGTTACTAAGAAAACCTTATCTAACGCTACTTCCGCTACCATCTCAATTGACTCTTTGGCTGATGGTTTTGATTACCATGCCTCTATTAATAGAATGAGATTCGAACTAGTTACAAACAAAGTTTTCGCTAGATTTTCCTCTTTTATCGAAAAGGTAATTGCCAAGGCTGAATTAGACCCATTAGATATTAATGCTGTCTTGTTAAGTGGTGGTGTTGCTTTCACCCCTAAGTTATCTTCCAACTTGGAATTCTTATTCCCAGAGTCTGTTGATGTATTAGGTCCACAAAATTCTGAATCATCCAACTATCCAAATGAACTATCTGCTTCTGGTGCTGCTTTACAAGCTGGTCTGGTTACCATTTATGATGAAGATGAAATGAAGGAAGCTTTACAACCAATTGTCATCAATACTCCACACTTGCAAAGAGCTATTGGTTTAGCTGGTGCCAACGGTGAATTCTTACCAGTTCTAATGGCTGAAACTTCTTACCCAGTTAAGAAATCTATTAAATTAAAGGAAGCTTCTGGTGATCTATTGATTAGTGTCCATGAAGCTGAACATCACATTGAAGAAAAAACTTTGGAGCCAGCTCCAAAGCAAGAAGATGAAGAAGACGAAGATAGTGAAGAATGGTCTGATGATGAACCAGAAGTCGTTAGAGAAAAACATTACACTTTGAGTACTAAATTGATGGAATTGGGTATTAAAGGTGTTAAAAAGGGTGTTGAAGTCACTTTCCAATTAAATAATGATGCTAAGTTGAAGGTCATCGTTAAAGACTTAAAGTCCGGTAACATTGTCAAGGGCGAATTATAAGTAGCTGTTTATTTATAATATATATTATGCATTAAATTTAAACTGGATAAACAGTCTTGTATAGAAGAATCAATTAAATAATGTTAGTAGAATACGACGTTTTCATATTTATTTTGTCATTAAATTGGCCTCGTTATAATGCACGTTAGAAAATACCTCAACTAAACTTAATACATAGAGGCATCATAAAAAAAAAAGAATGATTAATGACTATTAAAACAATAAAGAAAGTTCAATATGATATTAAGGATAAAGACGATATCAATTTACGTATTAACAAGAATAAAACAGATACTTCATAACATCTAGACAATGTACAAGCCTGTTGTTCATATCCTAGGTTTAGGATCTATGGGCACATTGATAGCGTCAGATCTGTTAAAATATAATGAAGTAACAGTTGTCCCATTGTTGAGATCTAAAGAAAAACTTTCAATATTCAGTAACAGATATGATAATACTATTAGACTACGGAAGATTTTTTTAGATGGATCTCCCGTTCAAGAAAATAAGCTTTGCAATAGTTATTGTCCTGAAACGTTTAAAAATGCAGGCCCTATTGAAAACTTAGTCATTACTACCAAGACATATCAAACCAAAGAAGCTTTACTTCCATATCTACCTTACATTAAATCTCATACCAATATAATTTTAATACAGAATGGGTTAGGTATCTTGGAATTATTGAAGGAGGAAATATTTACTGATTCAAATAGTAGACCACAGTTATTCCAGGGTGTCATCTCTCATGGGGTTTATCAGGATGAAGGCTTTACATACAACCATGCAGGTTGGGTTGGTATGAAGATAGCCAGATTGCCATGGGAGAACAATATTGTGCAGACCAACGAATTACTTGAACATGATAAGATAAATAATTCCTTAGTGAACCTATTAACAAAAGAACCATTTTGTAGTAAATTTGGCATTGAACACTTAACCTATCAAGAGTTACTACTAGGACAATTGCATAAATTTATTTTGAATTGTTGTATGAATAGTGTTACAGCAATCATGGATTGTGTCAATGGCGAGATGAGAGAGTATTGCGAACCTGTATTTAGATTAATCATAGAAGAATCACTCGATATTCTTGCTCAAGGATATCCAAAGTTATTTGCGTACGATAAAGAATTTAAGGGAAAGAATGAATACCCCCAATTGAACGTAAATTCTATATTAAGTGTAGACTATTTGGTGAAGGATATAATCAAGATTGGTTGTGTAATGTGTGCACAAAACAGTACATCTATGAGACAAGACACACTATATTTAAGAAAGACAGAAATTGATTATATCAATGGCTATCTTGCAAAACTAGCCCAAAAACTGAATCTTCCAAAGAACTCTAGTAAGGTTAATGAAACAATAATATCGATGGTAAACCTAAGATCAGGCTTAAATAAAGACAGAGCTTCGTAACTTTGAATACCACTATTGAGACATTTATAAGTATATATATTTAATTTACAATTTTTATTGAATAGGAAGAAGTTCAATGAATTAGTATACAAATTATTGAGTCCCATAGAGATCACTATTTGAACTAATTTGGCAATAACAAATAACAGTGATGATGTATTATAATGGTGGTGTAGATGGGCCAAAAATAAATATAAATACAGTCACAGTTGTAGTTGAATTTGAACTTACACTAAAGCATATATGGTAACCTATTGATCACGTGATTGTTATTTTTACAAATAATGGCCGGGTAATACTGACAAATACTCTACCCACCCCAACGCCCACCACTCTTTACGAACACTTTGGCAATGTCCGCGGCAAATGCCACAAAACTAAACACAAAAAGTTCCCGCCGATCCACATCATCCTTTACTTTCGATCTAGTTTTTTTGCAAATGTATATAAGGAGCCAAATGGAAAGATGTTTTATTTTAACTCTTTCTTGTCACTTGTAATGACAGAGAATACATAAAGAGAAATAGAATGGAAAGATGGTTATGTAGAATGCTGATTCTTTAGAGTCGTATGGAGATAAGAAGAGTGCGTATGTTCATAATATTGTAATTGTTCAATCAGATAATTTTTATGATCATAAAAAATAATTTTATTAATTGTAGATGTGCTGTATCTATTTGATTTTAACTCTGTTGGTGTCATAAAGACTGCAATTTTTGAGATTACCCTACTTAACAGTTTGGGAAGGAAATTTTACCCACAGGCGAAGAGAAAGACGGGCAGACGGACAGACACGAAGGCGGAAGACAGAAAAACAGACATACAGGAAAACGTCTGCTGGAGAAGTCGAAAAAAAAAATTCACCACCACCAAATTTCGAATTGTTATGTGGTTTTTTTAGGCTTGAATGTTTTTTTTTTGTTTCTTTTAGTAATAATGACGAAAAACAACGATGCAAACTGAAAAAAAAAATGCTGAAAATTTGAAATTGTAACGAAACAAAAAACTGATTAATATTAAAATAAATTCAAGTGAAATAAAATCAAAATAAATTAAAATAAATGTTTCGTTTGATCTATTAAAGGTTGTATTGAATTTATTACAACACATTATTACCTTAATTTTATTATTAATTTTGAGTTTATTAATTTTGTTGGTTTGGAAAAAGTTGCAAGTGTGAAGTAGACGTTGAAGACAGGAATATTATTAAATATTGTCAATTTAATTTTTTTTTTTGCTAAATCATAAGAAGATTAATTTTAAAGAAATAATAATTTATTTATTGTTTTGCCATAATTAATACCATTATAATAAATTTAATTTCAATTTTAATCTTGATTTTAAATTTAATATAATTTATTGATTACTTTATTGATTTTTTTTATATTCTTATCAGTTATTGGAAAGTTAATTTTCAAGGGAGAGAGACACACTACTAAAGATAAATAATTTTTTGGGATTTTAAATCAATTTACAAATTCTTTTGGTGATTTATTTTTTTTAACTACGAATTTCATCATTTAGATTATAATAATAAGTTCATTGAGTTCAAAGTATTCCCTAAGCTTAGAGAGAATTTCCAATACTTGTAATATTACGAAGACAATATTTTTTAATTTTTAATTTTTTTTTCTTTTTAAAGAAAAATAAAAGTAGAGTTCAAGTTCCTAAATCTAGAATTTAAAGAATAAGTTAACCATATATAAATTCTAAAAATTAATAGTTCAGGTTATTGATAGTAAGGTAAAGATATTAATTGTTTTCACAAGTCAATTAAATATGTCAAACGATAATATTTCAGAATCTGTTGACGATAAGTCTGTAAATACAACAACAACTGCAACCTCCGCAGTCTCAACTGCCACAGATAATTTGACATCTGAAATTAAAAATAATGATGTTACTGGAAATACTGATAATAAGAGTGCTGTTGAAGACAACAATATCAATACTTTAGATTTCATTAAAAATGAAATGAATATAACGTCAAAAAAAATAAAAGAAATTTGAACATTTATTAATATCAAAGGATTCAAATTTTACAACCTCCATGGAGGACTTTTTTAATGCTTGAAAACGGCCACATATAACCCATCAGCCATTGAAAATAATTTAAAAAAGCTTTAAGAATCAAATGATTCCGAAGGATTGGTTACAAATTGACTTTAAAATTGAAAAATTTCCAAATTGTAAACAACTCAAATTCCCCTTTTTAAAAAACCGTTACGGGATTTCTCAACATTTAAATTATTCAAAGGGTCCTCTTACAAAATCTCCCCAAAGCCCGGAAAAACAAAAAAGAAGGCCCCCTGCTTATCCAAAATTAAAGAGACTCTCCCTAAACTTTTTCCACAGGCCCCGGAAATATAAAACAAGGTTTTTTTTGCCTTAGAAAAGGGATTTTTTTACAAAAAACGGACCCCGTAATTTCGCCTGTGAAAAAAGAGGACCC